AAGCTAACAATTCCGGAAAGAACATTCATTGTTGAAAAGTATTTCGAAACAAAAAGCGTTGTTGCAGTGTTAAGACAATTTCAAATAGCTTTTCCAGGACGTAATCTTCATCGAGCGTTTGGCGTAATGTCAACAAATACCGGCTGCATACGCCTTGACCCCATAAAGTTTAAATCGAAATAAAGGAAACTCGGGAAGAAGACTTGTCTTGGATATGAGACAAGGAACGAACTTGTGTGAACTTAGAAATGGAGGCCACGTTGAGTAAATGTATACTTCCAACTTATTTTTTGGAACGTTTAAATAAATTGTGAATTCGACACATCTACGTTTTTTAATTTTCCAATTGCACTTACTTAAATTGACACAGCTGGCCAGCAATAACTCCAAATTTTATAAAATAAAGTATATAAAATAGCCGAAAGATCGCGATTTCGAAAGAATGCAAGTATAAATGTCTAACTTTCATATTCGCTTTGAAATTTACACTTTATGAGAGGACTCCGTTTTTTTTATTGATACACCCTGTACATATATTGACGAACATAAACTTAGGAACAGCAAAACCCGACTCTCTCGAAGGAACCTTTCTTGTGGATGTTAAATTAATAGGTACCAAGTTACTTCGTCTCTTTGAGTTAATGTTTGAAGTATTATTAGAATTACAGTGGTGGTAATTTTGTCTCAGTGTAATTCTAACAGGAATAGCTAAGTTCTTTTTCTTATCATCCCATGAACAAATTCTAGGTAATTCAACCAATCTTTCTGATTTTGTTGTGGTTGATGGTTGGGCTGGAAATTTTGATAGGACTGGAAATTCTGATGAGGTCGATGATTCTGATGGGACCGGTAATTTTGATCGTATCGAAGGTTTGGGTAAGGAGGGTGATTTGGGTGAGGCCGATGAATTAAACGGCGCCGTCGAAAATTTGTCAGGTGAGCGGAATGGAGTGATGTCTGATGGTTGGGAATTTCACTCACAGCATCTAGTGGAATCCGATCGGTGATTTTAGTTATCCCACGTTGGGATTGAGTATTAATTTGTCGTTTTGCATAATAGCCATGCCTGTATCGCTTCCAGTAAACCTTCTTCTTATTGGGAAGCTTACTTTGTTTATTTTTCTGCATATTTGATGATGGTAACTCATTTAGTGGCAAGTTTCCCAAACACATAGGTAGCGTCGTTTTGGTTTTACATCGTCTAATTGGTTGACCTTGTGGTGTACCTTCTACGGTATTGCAGTTTGATTTAGAATTCTCACATTGATTATCACGAACACTATTAGAATTGTTACTGGCTTTACTCTGTAGTTTATCACTTTGATGCCCATGTGATAAACAAAACTGTTCATCCTGTAGAAGAACTGATTTATTACAGGGGTTTTCACTGATTTCGTTTTGTTTACTAATTGTATGAGTATTTGATTGTTCTCTGTTCGCGATGGTTGACCGCTCATCTGTTATAGTTTGTATATTTTGAATGTTAATAATTTGACTATGAATTTGCTCAATCGCTTTACTGTTTTGGTATATATTATTGGAGAGTCTCGACTCCGTTATTACGGCATCTAACTTAACACCTTTGAGTTCAATAGATAATTCGTTACACTTCCTCATATTTTCGCCGATATCCCTAGCAGAAATCGACTGAGCATTTGAACCAGACGCATTCTTTCCTAAAGGCCCTGTTACACGGTGCAATTTTTCATGCAACTTGTCTCGCAATGTTTAAAAAAAGATTTTGATAATGCATTGCAAGAGGTGTTACACGCTGCAATGATATTCATGCAACTCGCAACGATACGGGACAGAGGCATGCGAAGAGAATAGGGAGAGGTGCTATTTGGCGCCAAATTTTAATTAAAGTAAAGCGTGTACTGGGGAGAGCCAACAGGAACTCTCCAAGCATTAAACATTGCGAGACAAGTTGCACGAAGCCATGTTACACGCTGCAATGCTAAAAATAATTAGTGCAATCGTTGCCAAAAGTAGAACCGACTTCTACTCTCTGCAATGCTTCATGCAACTTGTCTCGCGACGATTTTGACCATTGCAAGTCATGTTAAACGGTGCAATGACTCGTGCAACTTGTCTCGCAACGCCATTGCGAGACAAGTTGCATGAAAAATTGCACCGTGTAACAGGGCCTTAAAGGCCCTGTCACACTATTGCGTATCGTACTAGCGTATGCCAGCGTATGAAAAATATCACTCATACGCCGGTATACGCTGACATACGCTAGGGGTACGTTAGGCATAGGTTGTATACGTTTCAAGCACGGTCGCATACGGTGGCATACGCTGGCATACGGCGAGGCAGAAAATTTTTTTTAAGCATGTTCAAAAATTTTGTGCGTATCGACGTATGCTTTATACGATAAGCATACTCTAGGTACATGCTGAATACGCTAGAGGTACGCCAGATGTACGGTACTAATACGCTGGCATTTCAAAGGATTTTTGTGCGTATGAAAATAATTTCGTGTTAATTTTCATACGCTTCTCATACGTTTCTCTCATACGCAATAGTGTGACAGGGCCTTAACATGCAATTTCCACAGGAAACCGGGGTTTCCTTTATCAATCTACTTATAGAATTTTAAACATTGTTTGTTAAATCAAACAGACGATCAATTTTCTTGAGAGCATCTCTCAATTCTTCAGACAAATGATCACAATTCTGGTTTTGTGTTTGAGAAGCACAATCCTGTGTTATAAGACTATTATTACTTTGATCGATTTCGATGCACTGCTTCTGTCCGCTGGTCTGGCTAACATCGGAAGGTTGGCAAACACTATTTACTTCAGTTATTGAGTCAGAATTGTGGGAACTGACACCGTCACAGACATTAGTTATCGAAGTTGTGCATACCTTTAAGTTGTCTTGAAATTCGTCAAGTGTGCGCGACATACACGCCTTTAATCAAGCATTCCTTTACCAAATTGCCAGCCTTTCCACGGAATAGTAAAGAACTCAATTTTCCAGGATACCACGCTTACGAAAAAATCCTATAGGATCCTATAGAAATTCCTATAGGAAATGCCATTTGAACGAAAGAGCTGGTTGAAATTATTAGGTGTCACATTTCAGGAAAATCCATGTTGCTGGGATCTTCATATCGATGATCTTCTGTCGAAGGCCAGCGGGCGTACGTACATATTGAGAGTGTGTAGATGCTATGGTTACTCTGCAGATCAGCTAAGTAAATTATTCGATTCGCTAATCATGTCACTCTTTTACTATTGCATTGAAGTGTGGGGCTCTGCACTCCAAAAGAAATATTTGGATCGTATAGACAAGTTTTTCCGGCGGGCTTATCGTTATGGATATACGACAAAGAGTATTAAGATATCTGAAGTGATCGAGGAGAGAGACAGAAAATTATTCAGCAAAATCGTATCGAATCCAGAACATGCCCTACATGAATTGCTTCCTGTGTGTAAACAAAGGATCTTAAGACAAAGGGAACATAACTTTATTTTACCTCAAATTAAAACAGAGCGATTTAAACGATCCTTTATAAATAGATGCATGTCTCTTTAGCTATTTTTAACTTTTATATAATTAATTAGGATAGATCAATTTTTTTAACTGTAACAAATAGGAATTTGACATTTGTAAAGTTGCACGTCTGTTGTGACTCTAGACAGTAAATACTTTAATAGGAATTCCTATAGGATCCTATAGGAATAGAATTCCTATAGGAATTTCCTATAGGAATTCCTATAGGATCCTATAGGAATAGATTTCCTATAGGAATTTCCTATAGGAACTGAATTCCTATAGGAATTTCCTATAGGAATTTCCTATCGGAATTTCCTATAGGAATTTTCCTATAGGAAATAGGAATTTCCTATAGGAATTTGTATAGGATGTTATATAGAATCCTATTGCTGCTATTATATGTTTTTACTCTGTTTTTTATAGCAAAATACAAAACAACGTGTAACTCCAAAGATCGATATCGATCTACATTGATATATATTGTTATCGATCTTTGGAGTATTTTGCTAAAATACTCAGTGGTGTTATGTTTTTAGTATCAATGTGTTTAGCTAGCTAGGATTTCTATAATTCCTCATGGTCCCTAATGCAAGCATTCCTATTGGAATTTTATTCCTATAAGAATATAAGATACAGCCAATAGTTCGCGCTTCAACTGGACGCCCTGGTGACTAGTTTACGTTTCAGAGCACAAAGCTTCATGGGATAGCATCGTTTTATTTGTGATAAAAAATATTTGGTGTCTTATAATATTGTGCTTGGAATATTTCGTTGATATTTTTAACCCAAACGGTGGAAAAGGAATCAGAAAGTTCTTTTAACATGTTAAAACATGTTATACAGATGTCACAGGTAAGAATACTTTTGTATTTGACTTATTATTTAAGCACTTTAATTGCGAAATAATGTGGTGAATATGATCGTTAACTTGAGCCATGTGTCTTAAAATTCCGTTGAATGTTTGAATTTGCCGCGTTCAATTTGCATATAAAACATACAAAATGTTGGTTTTTGGCAGTAGAGAAAGAATGAAATATAGATTCGAACCTATTATTGTGAATTCTATACTAAATTTCACACTATTATTAACAATTTAGCAATATTTTCTTTGGCATAATTTGGCACTTTGCTTAAGAGTTAAGACTATTGTCAAGCTGGGTAAATAATATATGAAATAATATATATTAAACATCCGAATGCTTTTAAAGATATGTTTGCATTTTAGTACTTCAATAAGAATTGGAATCAGAGAGGAACTACAGTATTTCATGTGCTATTTTTAGTGTATCAATAATCAATCTTTAATGTGCTCAAGTGTCCTCTACTGTATTTGCATTGCTCTGTATGAATTGCCAGATGATTTTACTTGTCAAGGGGAGAGTCTTTTAACAGTGGGTTTATAAAGAGCTTCACTTGTATAAAGTGATGTTTGCAATGATAGTGCTGAGACAGTGCCTCAAATGTTGTCTTTGTATATTTCAAGATTAATATTTGAGCTGGGCAGTGCTTGTATGTAGCCCTGGCTCAAAATATTGTTCTCAACAATCAGCAAATATAACCAGATTCACTAACAATAGTCCATAGTTTATTTAATATGTGCTTTATCACTTTATATATTAAGCATAAATATATGTGGCACGGCATTGATTAGTTTTGGATGGCCTATATTTTGCCGGATGCCAGTAACCCAATCCAGCATATCCCTACTCTCTGCTCACGGCCATGTCTTTGCTTAACATACTATACATATTACAACTTGAAAGATATTATTTGCACTTCACTTGGTTGGACTAGAATACTGGGTTTGGTGGATAATCCAATATATATAATGATATATATAGACACTATTTAATTAAGACCTATAACCAGGAACAATTGCGAAAAATGTAACACTAAATCCTCGACCAGGAATTGAACCTACAGCCCTGTGCTTCCGGGGCAGCGCTCTCCCCAACTGAGGTCCGGAATCGCAGGGCCATAGGTTCGATTACTGCCAGAGGACTTAGGTAATTCACTTGGATTATTCACCAAACCCAGTATACATATTACAACCTGCATTACCTTGTACCAATATGAACAGTCTTTGTAATTCATGGTGATTATGACAATAAACTATGGAAATTATCTTATATATATAAAGGATAAATCTTATTGTTATTTATTTAAAAAATTTCTGGTTTCTGATTGGCTAACAGCCAGCTGTGAAATTGTCATATCAACTCAGTGACTAACCAAATATGGATTTTTCACATTCATATTAGCAAAATGACATCAAAGAGTCAATCTGAAAAAAATTTGGACGTGTTTGCGCCATATTACTATGACGACGAGAATCATATCGACTCACTGACGCCATTGATATGATGACGATGACAGCTGCCGAAGAACTAACTAGGAATTTTTTATTCTTAATACAAATAAAATACAAATGGGTTCCATTTGTTTTGATTTTTTTAAATAAATAATAAAATAATTATTGAATTTGGTTTTTGCACAATATGAAGAATTATCAAGCCCTCAATTTGCCGTTAAACGGTTATCAACCTCAGCCTTCGGCTTCAGTTGATAACGGCAAACTTTGGGCTTGATAATTCTTCATATCATGCTCAACCTCATTCAATAATTGTTAAATATTAATTAAAAACTGTTTTTACATCAAGAGTTAATAGTCCCTTATAACTGACTAAGGAGTGTCTCAGTTTAGGAAGCAAGTCCGTTGTTCTAGTTTTTTTATAGGGTATAATTTACTAATTATGATTATATTTTCAAATAAATAAAGTTTTTCTTTTACAGATTCCAATATGATGGATCTCTGGTGGCATTTGCACGCTGTGCTTGGAGCAGTATGAAATGTACATGAAGAAATCAATGGACTTGAACAAATGGTTTGTTAGGTGATAATATTGTTTGCGCAGTGGAAAGTGACAAGTGTTATAATACGGCTTTGTGAGAAACTCTATTTGCCACAACACATTGCTGTGCAATCAGAACTAAACATAGTCATGTATAAGAATGACAGAAAATAAAACTTATGTAGTGCATACAAAATTTTCTATTTTTTAAATACATAATATAGGTAATATAATATAGTACAATTTTATGTCTAAAAATTTTCTAAAAGTAAGAAAATATAAGAAACATTTCTTAAACTGAGAACAATAAAATGTCATAAGTTAAAAAGATAAATAGCCTAAATTAGTATGTTATATGTAAATATAGCCTGTTATATTTGCCACATTTTTATCTGTAATAAATTTTTTTTCACTAGTTGTTTCTCTTTTTGCTTCAACTTGGTAAATAACTCTTTTAGGCAGTTTGATTTAGAGGATTATGCAAAAATTTCTATATGATCCAATATGAATTTCTATGTAAATCTAAGGAATTCCTATTCCTATAGGAATTCCTATTAGATTTTGGACCAATTTCCTATAGGATCCTATAGGAATTCCTATAGGATTTTTTCGTAATGATAAATCAAAGTTAATTTAAAGCTATCAAACTTTTTTGAAATGCCCCCTGGCGACGACCATTTACCTCGCTGGGCAAAAGCATATTCGATACATTTCTTCAGCGATTCGTGATCAGCAGACCATCTACTTCGTTCGCCATCGTAATATATCATTTCGGAAGTTTTATATCTGTAAATTTCTTTCACATCCCAAACGGTGGTCATTATATTTTCATCGGGGTCGGAGCTCATACAAACAGAACCCGCCGCCATGTTGACTAATTATCGTCCCCAGAGCAAAGTCGGCAGCTATTTTCCCTATCAAGCCAGTGTGC